TTCTTCACCCATCTTTTCCATGTCAACGGTCTCGACGATGTGGAGGCAAGGGTTCTTCCCCGTCTCCCTTCGCTCGTGGAGACCGCGGCTCGTTCCTAGCCCGCTGGTCGCGCTGCCATCAAGCCATCCTGCCCAGCGCGGCCCAGCCTTTGTGCAGAAAACCCCAACCTGATCCCCGGCTAGGTCAGCGCAATCGCTGAGACTCCATCGCCTCAGGTCGACTGTTTCCCACAAGGCCCATTGAGACCCTTGCCGCACTACCAAGGTCCGGAATGGGTACTCAGACTCATTCACCCCTGTGAGCGCGTCCTCGAATGGCCATTTTCCCACATAGCAATGACCCCCATGGCACTCTCTCCACCCGCCAGTTGGGACCCCATCAAGAAACTTGCACGTTTCTGGGCTCACCTCTCTAGGTAGTCATCGTTCCAAGCAAAACCGAGGCCGCGGCGAGGGTTGAAAGCAACCCATAGCCAGCGCGCCTGGTCCTCGCTCCAAGAGTGCGCGCGCAAGTGCGACACCCCTGCAAATCTCGAACAACAGCTCGTTCCGTTGCCCCACAGAGCTGGCAAGCGGAAGGGCTAGATGCGATCCCAACGCCGCATTCCTGGCATACCTTCCCTTCACTGGGCGAAGTCAGATGCGAGTCCATCATGCCACACTCGCAGACCGTAACTTCGGCCAACCCTGGGCGCACCTCCGCAACAGGACGCCCCGCCTCTAGCGTGACTTCCTCATCCTGCGCTGTAACCAGCACCATGCCGCTAACGGCTCCGGAGTCCCATATTCCTGGGACCGCTTCAACCGGCCCTTCAATTGGCAGAACTCCTTCACACAAGGAGCCGTCAATGACCTGGGCAAAATCCCGGGTTAGCGGCACCAAGGCACCATCTCCAGGAGCTAGGACGACTGGCTCTTCTCCTGCAAAGTGCAGGAGCTGACGTTGGTCGCCCCCTGTCTCAAACCCCTCAGGTCCGTCGAGACTCGACAGAACGGAATGGAAGGCATAAGCCCGATCCTTGCGCTGCCTGCTCAGATCTTCGCATCGCGGGATCTTGATGCCCAAAGTGTCTAGGATATGAGCATCAGGGCCTGGTCTAAAGCCCAAGCCAGACTTAGCTTCGCAATCCAAGGCTCGACCCCCTAAAATAAGGCCATGCCAGTCTGACGTGCCTCAAGCTGCCACCTTACACCGGACTAGGATCTCAGGACCATCCTTAGTCCTTTCAGGCTGCTCGCCTTCCAAAAACCGAACTCGGATCACCACAGCGCCTTTCAAAGGCACTGGAGCTCCTGAAGCTATTCCATTAACGTACTCCGGATACGTCCACTTTTCAAAACGAACCACCGGAAAGCGCTTGTCGTTCGGTGCGATGTTCAACTCTGCTGCCCGGTTCAACATTCCAACCACCAGTTCTTCGGTCAGATGATTGGAGCCCGCGCAGCCATCTAGCATTGTCTCCACCTTTTTGTCTAAGACTCGAACAACTGTTTTGTATTGGTATCCACCTGGTTCGTTCTCGGCCAAGTGGAACCAATCCTTGGGCAAATCATCAAGTGAAGTGAACCGCGACTTCCCGTCCGCAGGATTCGAAGGCTGCTCCAAACTGAGCACTTGGGGCGGCTGAGTCGCGGCGCCGCTCTCGAAACGAGAAACAGCCCCCGCGGACCCTACCACACCTCCGATCACAACTGAAAACGCGGCGAACGGGTTGTTCATCGCTGCGCCTGAAGGAGCGCTCCACCCCGTAGGCAAGCTAGAACTACCCCCCGTTCCTTGGCTACCTCCGCCTTTCCCTCCTCCAGTGACTGGCAAGGAGTGGACCATGTCACACTGAGCCCCCTTCTTGCGCGCGCCATTCTTCTGGAAGAACGGCAAAGCGTACCTTGAGGTTTCGGTCCCTTCCCTTGACCCTTGCCCTTCCCGGCGCCCTTTTCCTTTCCCTTCTGCTTCCCCTTTTGCCCCTTAGCCGCGAAGGTCTGGTCCGGCTTCTCCCCCTTACCTCCGCTGGCCTTCATGGCCGCAAGGACCTTTTTTCTTAGCTCCTTGTCATGTGACCATGGGCAGGAACTGCCTTTCGGACAGTTCCCGTGGTCTCTGAAGTGGAAGCAGATCTTTTCTTGCTTGGTCGCCAGGACGCTCTGTGAACCTGAAGCAGCACCAGCAGCGGCAGCCGCCTTAGCTGCAGCCGCGGCCGCAGCAGCCTTGCTTGCTTCTTGCTTTGCCTTTTTTGCATCTTTCTTCGAGAGTCCACCGCCCACTTCATCTCCATACGAGTAGACGGCGTTGGCAGTTGCTCTGTGAGTTGCTTCTCGTTGTTCAAACTCCAGAACAACCCTATGCACGTCTGAGGGCTCCTAAGCAGCGCTTCGCCCTTCCAGAGCCTCTTATCTCCTCTGATCTCTTTCTGCAGATGCATCGGCATCTTCCGCAGGTAGGACAAGTAGAGCTCACGTGGGGTCTTCCCCAAGCCAATCGACTCCAGCTCCGACACGCTAGCTTCGAAAAGCGGTTCGAACTGGTGAGCGCTCATCCGCCCTTTGTTCAGCAAGGCGTGCTCATTGTCGATTCGGACCTCCTTCTCTTCCTTGCTCTCGGCAAACACCAGGTGCTTTTCCTTGATCCGGTTATAGACCTTTTCTGGGTTTTCCAGAATTTCTCCACTCTTCCACGCTGAGCGGTAGATGTTGGTGTAGGTCTTCAGCCTACTTCCTTTGCACCTGCCACGTAGAGCTATGAGCTGTTCTCTGTAGCTCATGCCCTTACAGTTGTTTGCCAGCGAGCAGCAGTCTTCGAACTCCTCGTAGAACTGCACTACATCTCTGGCTTCTGACCGATCATCAGTCAGCGTTGGCCAATTGACATCAGTCTTCACCGATGTCAAGCTGGTCTGTTGTGACTTACCAGTTAAGGCAGCCTCAAGGGCCCTCGTCTGAGCTTCCAAGGCCGCAGCGAGGTCCTTGTGCCCGTCGGATGCTTCCGATCCGTGACGAAGCGCCTCCAATTCCATCTCCAGCGCGGCCACTTTTGCCCGCAACGGAGAATCACCTCCAAGATCCTTTGGACCCATTCGCTCCCGGCTCATATCTCCTAAGGAGATCGGCCGCGGAGGCGTCCCTCCCGCAGGCCGGTCTTCGTCCTGCGAGGGGGTGCTGAACAGCTTACCGCTCTGAGTGCTCTCTTTTCCACCCAGCTGCATGATCAGCTCACCAATAGCCGACACGTGCTCCGTGATGTTCTCAGCTGGCATTTCCGTGCCGACGGCTGCAGTGGTGAACTTCTCTCTCAAGTACCGCACCATTCCACGGACATCCCAACGATCACCAACTCTCTCATAGGCCTCCTGGACCAGCTCTGCCTTCAAGCTGACCCTGGCCAGGTCAGTGATCGACACTTCGTGGCCTAACGTCTTTAAAGCCAAAACAAGACGAGTGATCCGCGTCAAGTACTCGGACATATCTTCATCTTGTGGCCGGTACAACGCCTTGAGCTGCTTCAACAACTCTTCTACTTCTGCGGCGCCTGTGCCCACGGATGATGATCTGGGACTGTCTCTCCCCCCCAGGCCAACACCCGGCTTTACTACAGGAACCAGGGCTCGCGACGGGCTTCCCGAAGCCGGTCGTGCCCCGTCAGCCACTAACTCAGAAGAAGACTCCTCCTCCGGGTCCTCCTCCTCCTCATCATTGAGACCTTCGGCCCTGTCGTCGCCGTAGAGGTCTGCCATAGTAGCCCTCCACAAGGCCACTTCCTCAACAGTCGTCGTTCCTCTCCCGTCTCGTCTTCGCGTAGGACGTTTACCTTCAACCTTTCTCCAGGCTTGCCACTTGAAGAAACTCATCTCTTCAGGGACCGGGACCCGTCCGTCTGCGATACATTCCCCTAGAGTGACTCCTTCAGGCTGATCGGCAACTTCTTTGCTCATGTCTCTTTCTACCGCGGCGGAGCTGCGAATCGCAAGCTTCCGCCCGCGATCCCAGTCCGCGTCCCAGGTGCGAACCGCAACCTAGGGACCGCAAGGGCTCTCCCAAAACAAGGAGATACTTCCCAGAACAGCCCCCAATTGTGAGCGACGCGAACGGTCTTGACCGCGTCGACGGTCAAACGCGCACGCGCAGCTGTTTATCGCTCACGAGTTCAGTCCGAGCGGTCGTTCACGCGGTGAAACAGAGCTAAGCGGCTACCTACAGCTACCTACCGAGCTCAACCTCAAACCATTCAGCGGCTTGAGCCAAAAGTGAAACACACGCAACTACTAGAGGGCTACGCATGCTTCTATCCACAGAGCCCCTAGTAGTGTTCTTGCTCCTAGTAGTAAGGCCTCCTAGTAGTAAGGCCAGGAGTCCCTAGTAGTGTCCTTGCTCCCAGTAGCAAGGCCAGGAGCCCCTAGCAGCGTCCTTGCTCCTAGTAGCGATGCCAGGAGCCCCTAGTAGTGTTCTTGCTCCTAGTAGCAAGGCCAGGAGCCCCTAGTAGCGTCCTTGCTCCTAGTAGTAAGGCCAGGAGCCCCTAGTAGCATCCTTGCTCCTAGTAGTCTTGCTCCTAGTAGTAAGGCCAGGAGTGCCTAGTAGTGTCCTTGCTCCTAGTAGTAAGCCCTTGCTCCTAGTAGTAAGGCCAGGAGCCCCTAGTACTGTTCTTGCTCCAGGAGCCCCTAGTAGTGTTCTTGCTCCCCTAGTAGTGTTCTTGCTCCTAGTAGTAAGGCCAGGCGCCCCTAGTAGTGTCCTTGCTCCTAGTAGCAAGGCCAGGAGCCCCTAGAGTGTTCTTGCTCCTAGTAGTAAGGCCAGGAGCCCCTAGTAGTGTTCTTGCTCCTAGTAGTAAGGGCAGGAGCCCCTAGTAGTGTTCTTGCTCCTGGTAGTAAGGCCAGGAGCCCCTAGTAGTGTTCTTGCTCCCAGTAGTAAGGCCAGGAGCCCCTAGTAGTGTTCTTGCTCCTAGTAGCATGTTTGCCTCCTTACTCAATTAAGTAGGAGCTGGCCGTGGGGGCCATGAAGATCGGCGTGCTGAGGGTCGTGGTGATGTGAACGAACAGCTGGATAGGCGGCGCGGGCAGTACCGGGCGACAGGGGCCGCGGAGGGGACTCTTGGGAAGGCGCCAAGGGTAGTAGAGTTTGTTGTATTTTTTTGTTTTGGTTGCTACAGCATTTTGAGCCATAGCCACATCGATGCTGGTCAACTTTGGCTTGTTGCGGTGTTGCGGGGTCTCAAACTTCCTGCCAGGAACCTTTGTACAATGCCCTTCTCTTGTGCCTGCTTGAATTAGAAGCTTGAGGCCAAGTAATTCTGGACTGCACCCTGCATTGGCAGCAGCTCCAAAGCACACACAGGAACCTTTTTTACACTGGACAAAACGCCGCAATACAGCGTGGCGTGTCACAGCACCACCGGCACCCTGTCTCCACCACGCGCACACCCAGCACCCAGCAACGGCACCCAGCACCGGCACCGTGTCTCCGCCACGCGCACAGCCAGCTCACAGCATCCAGCACCAGCACCACAGCCAGCACCAGTACCCGGCACCGGCACCCTGTCTCAAAAGCGCACACAACCAGCTCATTGTTATTTGAAGTAAGAACCCCATAGCTGTCGCTGTCTGGGGAAACATCTTTTGCATGTTTTTGCTATTTGGGGTGTATGCTGGTGTAACTTGTTTTGCCAAGTGAGCTACAGCACAAACCACCAAACGGATGATTTAGTGGGGATATCCAGTATGACGTTTTAAGGCATTTTCTACCAGGTTTTGACCGTAGCTAAAGTAATCAGGAATCCAATATCCTTTTTGACACCAACAGACAATTCTGGCAGGTTTATCAAAGAATGCCAAGCCAGCGGCTGGAGTGGCTGGGCTGCCGGGCTGCCAAGACTACAGAGTGTTTGATAGGCCAAGAGACTTTAGAGACAAGTGCGAGGTGTCCTTGGTTTGTCACAGTATCAGTACTCCATGATACTCCATGATACTCCATGTACATTCCAATTTGACCCAACAGTGTAGTCGTTTGTCGCATCTGCATGGACATATCCCCCTATGAAGTTAGAGTCAGAGTTATATATCGTCAGCTTGTTTGTGAAGTTGTGTTTGAACTCTCCTTGTTGGACACGTTGGCTCTCCAAGAAGGAGAGTCCAGTTGGTTCCCCGTTTTCGCTGAGAAGTAAAGCGCCTCTTCACACAGGCCTCACAGCTTTGGTGACCTGACGGTTGCTGGCCTCTTTGACGGTAACTAGTAACGATGCCCTTTGTTACTAGTAGCATTCTTGTTCCTAGTAGTAAGGCCAAGAGCCCCTAGTAGCGTCCTTGCTCCGTTCGTAGCGATGCCCTTCTTGTTTGCAAGAGTCGCTGTTTGAAGACAGCTATCCATTTGGACTTCTTTGTGCCAGGAGCCCGCTAGAAATGGTGGCGCCAGATTCTCATTCGGGGGCCTTGCAAGGAGCACTTCCGAGCTTTGCGCGAAGGAAATAGTTTGACAAACTTTCGAGGATCCCTCAAGAGCTTGCTCGTCCGGTCAGGGGATTGTTTTGTGCACTTCGAGACCCAAACCCATCGTTCGAAGGCACGTTTGGAATCGTGCTGTCGTACGTCCTTCTGGCCTGGAGTGGTGCAAGCAACTAACTGGTTAACATGCTGGGACATATTGAAGGAGGGCCACTAGAAGAGCCAAATACATTCCATTCTGGATTCTTTTGAGACTATTTAAGTTCTGGTGTCTACTGGAGTCGAGCAGTCGACTTGTTCCGTGGCCTGCGATGGGCGACAGCATCGTCCGACTCTTGGATGGCATCCACTGTTCCAGCCCACTTCCCCACTGTGATTAAGGTGGATGATGGATTAATGTGGGCGAAAGTCTTTTTTCTTTTGCTGTTTTTACTTGTTCTTTGTTGGAAGTGGTATGTAAATGGATGGTGAGCTTTGCGCCCGCTTGCAATCTAATTATCCAGATCAGAGCCAGGTTTGAGCCATCCAGGTATCCAAGGGTCTCATGTTCAGCCATGCTTGGGTGTCTGGGTAGCCACTCCTGTCTTTAGGTGAAGCGCCCCATCAGCACTGCCAGCAGTTCCTTTGATCCAAACAAGAGGCGGCACTGAGTTTGCGCTACCGTTTTCTGCGGGAGACGCATCAAAACAAAATAAAAATGCATCAACAAATAAAAAACATGCATCAACATAAACATAAAAAATGCATCAAACAAAAACATAGAAAGAAACGAGCAAAGGAAGAAAGGAAGGAAGGAAGGAACGAAGCAAGAAAGGAAGCAAGAAAGGAAGGAACGAAGCAAGAAAGGAAGAGGAAGGAAGGAAGGAAGGAAGGAAGGAAGGAAGGAAGGAAGGCTGTGACATTGAAATGCGATGTTGCAAAACTTTGCCCAGACGCCCAGCGCAGAGATCATTGCAGTACCAAAGGAAGATTCATTGGGGAAACTCCATGATATCTGTTTTTTGGTCGTGCCAAGTTACATTGCTGGGGAGGCGCTGCGCCCTCCCCCGCGCCCCCTCCCGCCTTTAATTGTTGAGCGTTTTCATTTCATTCATTTCACTCGTTCATTGACTCATTCATTCTTTCTTCCTTCCTTCTTTCATTTTCATTTTCGCTTTCATTTCACGTGATTTTCCTTTTTGTTTGCTTTTATTCTTTTGATCACTGCTTCGATTGGAATATTGCTCTTCTCTCTGCACGTTTGGGTCCGTTTATTTTTTGTTTTTTCTTGATCACACTGAAATATAAACATGTTTCAGGTCTGGCAGGCTTGGGTGAACATGTATTCATTACTGCCATAGGTTTGAACCAACGAATGTTTTGGCTCAAGTGACTTGGCCAAAATAGCGTTTGTTCTCTCTTTTTGAGGGCGGAACCCTTGGAGAGACAGTTCTTTTTTTTGTGCAGGGAGGGACCCTGTTTTCCCATGAGCGAGTTGGGAACAAGCCTTGCTGCCTACACCAGGTACCAGGTGATCCATGCCGCCGCGTGGATGGAGTTCAGCGCTCACCTTCAGGAGCTGGTTGCTGAGGGGCGCGAGCGGGAAGCTTTGCGCCTCTGGGCCTCCGTGGTGGAGTTGGTGCATCTGGGGTCTCCAGGGCAACCCCTCTCCATCGCTGGGTTCCCCCCGGTTCGTCGGTTCGTATGTACCACCATTCCGTGTGCAAGGCGCACCGACCGTCGGGGCGGCTTCCAGTTCCCATGGGTGGGCGTATGGAACCGCCGCTGCTTGCTGGTTCAAGAGGGACTTGGGCCAGCGGTCGCGTGGCAGCGCTACCATGCCTCTGCGGCGCGCTTGGACCGCCTGGCGCTGCAGTGGATTGCCTTTGACCTGGGCCCGTTGGACATCTTGCCGGTCCACGTTGGTTTGGCCGTGGAGCGGCTGGACGACGGGGACGATGGCATCGACACCGAGGAGTTCTTCGAGCTGGTTCGGCTTTGGCAGCAGGGGAGGCGGCCATGGCGGGAACCATGGTCGTCCCTGGTTGGGACCCCAGGTATTCCCCGGGAAGTCGCGAATGCAGGCCGATCCATCCGTGCGATCCTGGGGGCCGTGGCCTATGACGTTGAGTACATCCCCCCCCTCTGCCTCCTTTGTCGCCTGCCCACGTTCGAGTCCTGTCGAGTCTGTCGATCGATCGTTTGTGAAAGCTGCAACTTCTGGTCACGGCAGTGCCCGTTGTGCATCGACAGTTCTGGCTCAGACTAGTGCGATAGTCCTTGCAGGGCTCATGGCTGACAGGGGGCGCTATGCGGTCGAGTCAGCGGGGAGCTCCAGGTGGGACCCGGAGACCTCGTCTGAAGTGGCCCAAGCCGCCCGTGTTCGCGAGTTCAGGGAGCAATACCACCTCTTGGACGACGCGGACTTCGCCTTTGCCTTTCGGTCAGCGGAAGAGGCCTTGTTGGCCGGGGGCCGGGGATTGGCCGATGCTTGGACCAAGGCCCGCTCCGAGCAGACTGAGGAGCTGATGCCGTTGGCGGCCTCTACAGTGGAAGCTGGTTCGAGTCGCGACAGGCCGGCGCATGCTCTTCACCTACCCGCTCCTCCAGTGCCTGTTCGGAAGGGAGTGACCCTTTCTCAACAAGCTTTCAGTGCTGACAGTGTGAACAGGCGAGTGGAAGCGCTGGCCCAGGTGTTTGAGGACGCCGGGATTCATCGCCCTTCCGTGGGGAACCTCTCAGATGCGATCCTAGCGGAGTGGAGACTGCAACTCACTCGATTGGCGCAGGTCAAAGTGACCAAATCGGAACCTCAGACAGTGGTGAACGCTGTGCGCACGTGGTCGGAATTGGTCAGCTTTATGCGTTCTCGAGATAGGACTACGATCGAGCATTTGGATTTGGCGTCATTCCTGGCCTCCGGCTCCAAAGGACCTAAGCGAGCATTGAACTCGCTTCGCTGGTTGAATAAACTGGGGCATTTGGGGTGGCAGTTGGATGCGATCGTGCTGGATCCACCTGCCTCACGGCGGGCAGCTGCGCGATCCCAGGCTCTCGTTGTCGAGCCGCCCATGCTCACCCACTTGGAGCGTGGCATCAAGGAAGCCTTCACCCGACAGGACCCTCGCTGGACTGCGATGCTGGGAAGTTGGATCGTTGGCGTAGGGGTACTACGCTACCGGCATGTCCAACGTGCTCAGATGGTGCGATTGTCCCGCTCAACGATGTACTGCCATTGCCCCAAAGGGAAGCAGGCGAGCAAACGTGATGGCTTCGACTTCTCCATCCCTTCGCAGTTCACAGATGGCTGGCCCTGGGCAGAGCATGTGGTGGCCCTTCGGAACCAGTTGCCCGAGGCCCAACGAGATGAAGGCGGCCTCTGCTTCAATCGGGAAGGCCGCGCGTGGGACATTTCTGAGGTGCAAGCCGCAGGTCGTGAGCTGTTCCAGGACCTTGTGACCGACGTGGCCGACCTCTCCACCTAGTCGTGGCGCCGGCTCATGCCCACGGTGGCGTTGCTGGCCAAGTACACCCCGGTTGAGATGGTGGCCTTGGGGGATTGGCAATCCAAGAGTGAGCTACCTCAGGAGGCCGCCATGCCGACACACTACGCAGGCAGCCGTGATCTCGTTAGCATGAGGCTCAAACATCTGTCGCTGGGACTTGTCGCCAGGTTGGGCGAATTTGATGCCTGGGAACTGGCAACTCCAGCCGCCATCACTGCCGCAGTGGACGCGGCCAAGCCCGAGGTGCAGCGGGCAGTGAGCCTCGACAAGCACAGCTTGTGGGACAAGCCGATGTCGGTGGCAGCAGCGCAGCGCGCGTTCGCCTTCTCGCGAGAGCGTGCAGCGCTCACAAGAGCGGCGCAAGCTAGTTCCAAGCGCTCCGAAGCTGTGATGCCCCCTTCCATCAATGGCAAGGTGGTCACCCGTTTCCTGAGGAACGGCAAGGCGCTATGCCCCAACTTTCAGTTGGACGCCTGCCACGTGGGCGAGGGGACCTGTGGTGAAGCCCACCTTTGCGCCATCGTGCTGAAGACTGGCCGTGCCTGCGGAGGGAAGCATCCAGCTCAGGCTTGCTTGGCAAAGCGCTATGTGGTGGCCGAGGACGTCGAGCACACCCCTCTGGCGAACGTCGCAGTGCCCAGCACCGCAGATCGAGCCAGTCGCTCTCCCCGTGGCCGACGCCCCTGAGGCTCCACATCGATCATCATCGCCAGAGAGCACCTCCAGTGAAGATGAGTCCTCAGCAGGCCCTCGCTCCCCGAGCGCGTCCCCGAGTCCAGTCCCTGTTCCCAAGACCAAGAAGCCGCGCACCGTGCCACCCCCGGACACTGAGGCAGTACCCTCTCCAGCGCAGCCCGTGGCGCCCAAGGCAATGCCGCCCTCGGTGGCAGCGACAGCTGCGGCGCCCAAAGCCTCGGAGGTCATTCCACCATGGCGAGCAGCAGCAGCCGAAGCAACGGAGGCTCCCAGCGACATCTTCGAGATGCCCGGGCCCCCGGCCGCGTTCACACCCAATGTGCACGACCAGCGGTGGGACCGCTTGGCCACTGTGCGGGGGAAGAGCGCGCAGGCACCGACCAAAGTGCTGTCCGTCCAAAGTGGCGGCACGTTGTGGTTGGGTGGATTGCCTACGAACCGGTCAGCATCAGCCTTTCCATCCGTCACTCTTCAAGTGGCATGCATGCTTGAGGAGCCTTCGCAGCGGGGTGGCATTTGCTTGCAGGGAGCGACCCTGCGCAAGTTCGCTATCGCCCACCCTGATAGGCGAGACGAGCAATGGCGCGACCTGTTTCCGCTCCTGTGCAATACGTTGTGGGGAGGTGAGGATGTGCTCCTCCACTGCATTAGTGGCCGGCATCGCGCGGCGGGTACCGCGTGTATGATCCGAGCCATTCTGCTCCGGGAGCGCTTTGAAGCAGCTTGGGACTACTTGGCAAGTGTGAGGGATGTCGACATCCAAGGCTTGCTGAGAGACAGGGCCTTGGCTGGTTGGATCCATGAGACCCTTCGCACATCTAGTCTGGGCAATGCCTGGCCCCGGCCAACCG